TCCAAAATGTGTCTATGAGCGGAGTGGTGTATGCAGTTAAATGTATAAAACCTATGTATAAAACTCAACGCTTTTTCTGACATTTTAAATTCAAAAAGCTTCCTGGATGGGAAGCAAGCTTGGAAACAAAGTCCAGTGGATTGTTTTTTAACTTTCTTGGAATGGCTATGACCTGGATGACTGAGAATCTTCACCAGCAAGGAGCACAACAGACATGGATGACCACCAACTCTTACAGGCTGGGAAACTTTCACTCATCTTCAAGGAGTTATTTGTCAATCTTGACAAATATTTCTGAATAGATGTTAAATCTTTCAATTTAAGTCCCATTTTATGGTTTTACTGAAGTTTTGTTTAATTTCCATAAAACAAAAAAGTAGTCTCAGTAAACAAAATACAATTTAAGATAATGTCACCACATTTAAAGGATCTGACCATGAATCACCACCTAAAAACATGTCTTTTCACTACCTGGATCTCCTTTTTCTCCTTTCTCACCATCACGACCATCTCTGCCAGGAAGCCCGGGAATGCCTGAAATCAGCCAGTGACGTAGATCAAGAAAGGGTTGAGGAAACACCTCTGTAATACAATAAGACTAAACACAGGTAAACATACAAACCTGGCATTCCTGGCATTGCTGGACACGTCTCGATGGCGACCATAGTAGGTACAGCCAATGAGAGCAGAGCTCCCGTTAGAAGAAAACAATGGAAGAGCATGATGAGAGAAGTGAGTGGGGCTGGTGAGGAGAAGAGGAGTGGGATCACACAGGATAAAAGGGATGTAGATAAAATAAGATCAGATCAAGGACAAAATACAGAATATGAGAGATATTTGAAAGAATATAATGAGAAGGAAATTAAAGGAAAAACAGAAATATTTTGAGACAAAAAACTGCTTCTAAAAGTTTGAAGTTTTGTTAATCTTTTTCATTCTAACACAACAAATATAAATACTGTAAACCTATTAAAGATCTTAGACTTACCGCTAGAAAGTTACAGAACAGTAAATCCAGCCAAGGGAGCAAAGAGCAAATTAAAGAGGAGCTCAGAGTCCCGCAGCAGTCGGACAAGGAAGTCAGCCTAAAGTCAAGTCACAAAGAAATGTCTGATCCAACAGTTCTGCTTTTCTGGGAGGGTGCTTACGGCTGCAGGGATCCAGAGACAGAAAACAAAGTAATTTCAAAGAGGTGTCTTAAGTCTAATAAAATAATCCATAAATAAAGATGAAGAAGGATTGTTATTGGATTAGCAGCATCTGACAGCATCTGACAGATTTGTAATATTTTTCTGTGTGTTCTTAGTTTTATGAGATGGCCATTCGCACAGAGCCATATTCTGCAGGAGGCCTCTTTGTGTTAAATCTGAATCCTTTCTTTCCACTATTGCCACATGCTTGCTCAGTTTAGGGATGAGTGCAAAAGCCTAATAACTAATTTAAGTGAAATGATAATGAACTATGAAATGAGGCACCACAGGTGTTTTAGCATAAATAAACAGATCTGAGATTTTTGTTATCAACAGGAACCTGCTTTTCCTCTGAGAGCTTTAAAGGTACATGGTCATATCATATGCCTTCACAATAAAGTAGAAATTCCAGCTGATAAAGGTGATATACGGATATATTGTCATAAAACGCGACAGATGGACTCAGTATTAAGACAAGACAGACAGTGGGAAGTTTCAAAGTGTTTAAAGACAAAAACATGAAAGACAGAAACAAAACAAACAGAACGCAGGCTGCTGTGTATCAGCAGACCTGCAGCGGCTGCAGGAGGGGCGGGGCAATCCCTGACACTCTGGTTTAACAGTTCAGTCTCTGCGAGGAAGGCAGGATCCAGCTGATGGACTGCCAAACGAGCTGTGGACAGAGCAGCCCAGAATGTCCCCGATGCAGCAACCTCAGATAGCAGGCAGAAATCCGATCCAGGTCAGTGAAAACAAATCAGACGGGACAGTTCTGGGATCTAAGGGTTTGTAGCCCAACCAGGAGTTCAGATCCAAACAGGAACAGACGGATCCAGGGTTTCAGGAATCAACAGAGCTTTCAGGCAGGTTCAGAGTTCCAATGAGTCCAGCAGTCAGCTCAGATGGAGACAGGCAGGCCCAG